GCCGTGAGGCTCGCTGCCTGGCACAGGTGTGTTTATTAAAATGATGGAATGAGAGTGAGAATACAACCACAAATGTACATCTAAGCTCCTGTCCTGTTTCCCATCTTATTCTGTGAACTACTGCAACATTTAAACCAGTCAAATGAGCTCCAATGGATGTCTTCAGTCACACGTTTTCAAACAGCGTATTGGACATGGAGGCTCTGTCTGCAAAATAATTTATCATTAAAAATGACAAACAGGTACACAGAGGCATAGAAGTTCTGCTTTATCACTTTTATTCCAGCTTCTCATTTTTTAGAATATTTATTGATTTTTTTTTAGAGTTAAATGCATTTAGTTATCAGTGCTCCACATTTTATGGTTTGAAATTATGTTTTGCTTGTATAATTACAGATCTGAGCAATTTATGACAAGCAAGTTATTATTTATTGCTGTTTTTAGTTTTCTAAATTTTAATGTCATGAATAAACAGCGAAGTGTTTTATGATCCTGAGCCCTTTGAGTTGATTTGATGCAGATTTATGGTTAAATAAAGGTAAAGAACGTCTGGTATTGATAAAAGCTGAAAAAAATGATGTTAGTTATACAAAAATTAGATTATGTTGCTGTTATTGTTTATCTTTAGATTGATATTTTTTGTCAGGAAGCACTCAGGAGTTAAGTTTTGTGTTTTTCAGTTTAACAACTTTTATTCCAAGGTTTGTTTATTGTTTTTCAGGGAAGTTAATTTTTTTAATTACGGTACCTCCGTTCCAAACATGCTTTCTAAATGATGAGTTTTGTTGAATGTGATAGCACAGAAGAATAACAGATGAGATTTCAGCAAGTATAAACAGTTAAAAATTGTTTTAATATACATCCAACATTATGATCTCTTTATAGTTTTTTTAACAATTTTTTGGTTTAATTTAATTTTCAAATAAAGGACAGGAAACTGGATTCTGCACCATTTACTCATGCAAACTTGATGTTAAAAAAGTACAATTTTTAGTAATAGACTAGTTTCACAATACTTCTTTATAACTTTATAAGATTCAAACATAAAAGTCATCTTTGCTGCTCTTAAAGGAGACATAGTGGGCTTTTAAAATCCTTTTTTTACATTTAAATCGGTTGGGGTCTGTATAAAGTGGAATTGCAATGCTTATTTTAACTCATCAGTCCCTCTTTCACCCTTTTTCTGTGGTGTGTCTCATTTACAAATAAAAACAATAGAAAAAACTGAACAGGTTGAAAAATATGACTCAAATAGAATATAAAGAAATCTTTGCAGCACTGGGAGAGACTAAATTTAAATTTTCTGCACTTAGAGACTCCCAAGTCCACAATAAAATGCATTTAATGGCTAAAAAAGGTGGGTTTTGCACGATATGTCCACTTTAAAATGCACTTTTGTTATTCTACTTTATTTAATTCCCTGATAAATCAGCTCAGCCATCCCGTCCTTGATGCCCGTGCTGTACTCCAGGGTTGCTCGGTGGATCTTCCACTCGTACAGGCCGCACTTGCGCAGGTACCTGAGGAACTTTGGAGCCCCAGGAAACAGCACGTTGTCAGCCAGAACCATGGATCCTTTCCCCAGCAGACCACTGCCCTCCAGCAGCTGAGACACACACAGGGACACAAAGACGATAAAACAAAGATGGAATAATGGTTCGTATGTAAAAGGCTTCTCGTGTGATTTTAAACCTGCAGGTCGGGCAGGTAGCACTTCTTCCAATGGTCCATGAAGACAAAATCTAGCCTCTCCAGGTTGTAGTCGGTTCTCAGCCGAGGGATCACCTCATCAGATGGATTCACGATGAGCTCCACCTGGAGAAACAAAGTGTGTAAAACTGTGTCTGTGGTTAATTTGAGACATTTACTTCTCATCTCACCGTGTTGTCATCAAAACCTGCCAGGCGGACGATTTTCTCTGTGATGGCAGCATTCCTCTGATCCATCTCGATGCTGTAGAGCCTGGCCCCCAGGGGCAGGGCCCGGGCTATTCTCACAGTGCTGTATCCACAATGAGCCCCCAGCTCCAACACAGTCAGGGGGCTCTGTTCCATCAGCAGCCGGTCCAGAATTTTCCCTAAAAACACAAACATGCAGAGTAAAGTGAAATAACTTGACCTTATGATTAACTCATTGTTCTTATTGCAAAACATTTATTTACCACCTTTTTTGGGCCCAATGTTGCTGATGAACTCCACCTTGCTGCACCAGAAATCAAAAGCATCCAGGATGCTGTCAGGATCTCCAGGAGTGGAGTGAGTGAGAACGTACTGGAAGGCGCGCTCCTCCCGGCTCAGACCCGTTGTACAGTCCTTCCATATCCGGACCAGAGCCGACCGATAGAACAGCACGAAGAAGTACCGGTACCTGATCAGCACCGTCAGCAGGAGAGGAATGAAGGCCAGAGCAATAGCCGGAGACACCATCCTGGCACAGAGACAACACACAGCTGTCGTATACAGTATACTCATGTTTTCTGGTAACAAACTAATCCTTGTGGTTCATGAAATTAAGTTTAAGGAAATCTGATTATTTTTCAATGGAGCAGGACAGCAAGTGTGTAAATCAAGGCCGGCCCAAGCTAATTTGGCACCCTAGATTTCACGTGGCACTACTTGTGCAATTTTATAAATCTCACTGTTAATTTACAATTACAATTTGTTACACCGCAAAGCAGCTGAGAAACCTACAGAACAATTTACCTTCATAGACCTGAATAAACTAATTATTCTACTGACTAAAACAACTAATCTGATAAAAAGCTGTAAAATATATATGTTTTTTCATCCCCCATTTGTGGCGCCCCCGAGCTGGATGGTGCACTCAGCATTTGCCTACACTGCCTATGTCACAGGCTGTCCTGTGGCATAGGCAGTGTAGGCAAATGATCTTAACGATTTCAGAGAAATGAAATTCTGGTCTAAATAAATAACAAGCTAAACAGAATTGGAGGTTATGAGACAGAGTTATGCAACATAGATCCTCTAACTTATAGAATATTAAAAATATAAAAGTGGTCTTGAATTCTGGTTGAAAAGTTGATTTAAAAGTGCTGAGAATGAACAAACTGCTTTTACTCAACAGACACTCTGTTCAGATTCAAGGAAGAAACCCTGATACTTCACATAAAAAATACTTTGTAACTATAGTCTCTCTCAATGATTATTTAAAGTAAAGACATGCCAACAATCTACTGAAAGACTAGATTCTACCAATTTTGTTTTAATTTAAATTTATTTAAAAAAAGAGAATATACATCAAACATACAAACAAATTAAATTTAAATACACCCGATTATCCAAAAGCTTCATTGTTTATTGAGTTATTTGTTTCTTATATACCAATAAGGAAAACACTAAGGTTTAGATGAATCTTTTCTTTATAATAAAGGTTAAAGACGACATTAAAAACATTCAATTTTAATGATTCTACAATTTATTAATCTCAATAAATGCTAAGCCATTTTCTAGACTTGTGAGGTTTGTTTCTTTTTCCTTTATTAATTTTTCTGTGATAAATTTGTTCATACGAGTATACGTGTAAACAGAAAAACTAGCATGGTATCTTTACAAACCTAATTTCAAACTGGAAATTTTCACGAGCTAATTACATTTACATGCCCATAATAAAACCTTAAAAATAAACGTGAGGATAAAGTGTTGCGCCTTTAGATGTTAACAGACTCTACATGTCTGTTGTCTCACTGAACAATATCTGCTGGAAGGAAAAGCCGAACAAACTCACCTGTTTACTAAAGAGCTGAGGGACTTGGGCTGACTTTGGCTGAGGCAGAAACAGAAATAAACGAGTGTGTGTGTGTGTTTGAGTGTGTGTGTGTTCAGGATAAGGACGCTGCAGTTTGAATAATTAATGCTTCACGTGCACAGCGACACACACGCTGTAATTATTGCCAGTTATGTAATAATATAACAGCTAGTTAAACACAAAACACTATATTCTCTGGTGTTTGACGAAATGTATAAAACCTAAATTCTGCAGAACAGGTGAGACGATATGCAAAGTGTCAGGGACACTTAGACTGAGGGAGGCAGAATGAAACTGATATAACAGGTGTGTCTGTGGAGTCCAATTTCTGTTTTTACTGAGTCATGCAGAAAGATCAAGAAAAAGACACGAAACTGTGTTTTCAAGAACATGAATATAGAAAAACCTAAAATAATTATGCAGTCACTAAAATACAAACGTAAAAGAAATGTATTTGCATGTCACAGTTTTAGACAAATCATCTGATGTTGAAAAAATAAGCTATAGCCGTTTGATTATCTTGTAAAAGATGGTGTGATTTTATGTAACACTGTGAGATGTGATGTTCATCTGTTGTAGCGTTACATCCAGTGATAATTTCCTAGGGGTGTAAGAAAATATCGATACACTGAAATATCACGATATTTCATTTCCCGATACTGTATCGATATTCTAAAGCCCTGTATCGATTTTTTATTAAGGTTTAAAATGTCAACTTTCCTGCCAGCCGTTCATTTTAATGTTGTAGTTCAGCCTCTGACCACTAGTTGGCAGCAGTGAGCCAGCCATTTATTTTCAAACTATTTATTGTCAAATTTAGTCTAATAATTGAAAACATGGATGAAATAAGAAATATGAAACAAATAAAATAAAATACATACAAAGCAGAACACAGATAAATGTATCAAAAGCATGTCTATGTAATATTAGAATTTTCTGAGACAATGAATTTTGGTTTTTCATTTTTTTCCCCCGTAAGAGGTTTTTATTTAACAGAATTTTTGGACAAAAAAATCGCAACACATCGCAATATATCTCCTTGCTTATAGTATCGCAATATATCGGGATATATCGTATTGTGACCCCTCTGTCATGATATGTATCATATCGCCAAATTCTTGCCAATACACAGCCCTATAATTTCCTGAAAGTTTTATTTAAATATGCCCAGTTGTTCATAAGATATTTTGCTAACAGAGTTAGTTGATTCTAATGTTAATAGCAAAATTATGAACAAAAATCCCACTCCACCTATTAGTGACTGTCTCTCAATTACAATCAGCACCAAATTTTAGGTTAATCTGCATCATTGTAATGTAGTCCCACAGACACGAGATAAACATTATTGTTCGCTTTTGCCTATTAGCACCAGGATAAACATTGTAAAAAAAACCCATTACATTAGGTATAGATAGAAACAAAGTTAAAAAAAGACATTGTCAAATCTTGAAAATGTATTATTTATATATTTATCCTTGATTATTTTAAGACAAACAGCAACTTTACGTGATCCAAACCTCCCTCCTCTTTCATTCAGTAACATTTTGTTTACGTGTCCAGAAAAAATACAAAAATATTTCAGCAAATTATGCTGCTGTGACAAACAGACTTTGGGAGATGTTGCATCATTATAATAACACCATAATGATGCAGCAGCCACAGAAACAACAGGTTTCTGTGTTTTAACTAAGCTGCTATTTGATGAAAAGGAAAAAAACATTATACTGTAAGTTTGAAGAATTTTAGTAAATCTGAGGTATAATTTCCCAGTAAAAATATATTATCTGATGATTGTTATCAGTTTATTCCTGTTGTTCCTCACGTGTTCCTGTTTGCCATGTTGGATTTTGTTACAACTCGCAGCAGCAGCAGCTCCCAGACCGACTGTGCTGCTTAAATGTCTGAACAGGGTTGTTTAAGCAGAGCTCTAATAAACTTCTTCAGCTCTTTGTCCCCTCTGGTCCACCTAACAAGTCGAGTCAACACAAGTCTTCCTTCTTCAGCCCGACCCAGGGCCAAGAACCACCAGCTGTAGACCCTGTGCTCCACCTTTCCTTCGTCCTTCGACTGTCTGTAATCTGTGCTCTCCACTTTGAGCTCCTTCTTTTTGTTCACATCTAAAGAATCTAAACCAGGACACGTACAGCTGCCTCCTTCTTGCAGCCACAACGCCCTGTGGGTCATTGCACCTCCGAGCTCCTGCGCCTTTTCTGCACCTCCCCCAGCCCACCTCAGAATGCGACTGCGGGCCAGAGGGACCAGCTGGCGGTCGCCTCCCACTGTTGACATGCTGCCCAAACGCATCTTTAAGGCTGCAACAGAACAAAAATGAACATGATTCCACAGACACATCGTAAAACAACCCCTCTGTCTTCTATATTGTGTCATATTTTATAATAAAATTCTTCTTCGGTTTAGTCTTACTGAAGGGAAGACAAAGCAAAAGAATATGCTGAGAAATTGTGCCATTTGTTCCCACCGTATGGACTGTAGCAGAAGTTTTCCTGGATGTCAGCCTCTCCTTCAGCAGCCAGACTGCAGGCGTCACAGATTACGTTGCCTGAGGGGTGGAAAACAGAGATAATATGATTTTAACTGTTTACAGTGAAGACATACAAAAGTTACTAATTCAACCTTGGCATAAACAGATCACAGCCGTGTTATATAAACTTAGCACAGACAGTAAGGACATTTGTGCTTGGTTTTGCCATAATAATGTTTCCTGGCAATAAATCTTATACCGTTGGAAAGCCTGATAATTTCCCTTTTAAATATGTTTGTAAGGAACATGCATTTGTGTGATGAGCAGTAGAGCAGAGTTTGTGGGTTGTGTACATGAAAAATTAGCCAAATCTTCTTTGCCAAACAGCTTCTGGTACTACCGGGTTCTACCAATCAGGTGCCCGCTATAAGATTTATTACCAAGAAACCTTGTTTAATAGGCTGCACCTGCATTAACAAGGTTTCTTGCTAATAAATCTTTTAGCAGCTATGCTCCATATGGCCGTCGACTTCCCTAATTGACACATTTTGTTTTGGTGACAGGTTATTTTCAAAAATAAAAGTACAATTCAATACGGCTAAAATATTACAATTAACTTGAGAACACAAAACTTTTGAGAGGGAATGAAAAAGGGGAAAAAAAAATCCCTGTATGTTGTCGGGGGCTCCGTAACGTTGAACAAAGACAGCTTAGACCAGGGCTATTCAACTAAATTGCTCCAGGGGCCACAGTTAATGCAGACCACTGGCACAGGAGCCGAACGTCCAGCAATTAGTCATTTTGTAAATAAACCAAGTAATTACAAAGATCTGTTACTTTTGAAATAGTTTATTTTGCTGCATTTTATCATGGATGCAACATACAGAACCCTATGATAGTAAAACAAAAACTAAAAGAACACATAATGCCTCCTATTTAACACAAATATTTTGACTTCTCTGACTTACCACAAGTAGGGGTCTCTGCGGACGAGCAGGCATTTCCTACAAAAGGCGGTTCACAGCGGTTCAGAACAGACACACCTGATTGAATGACCTTTTTCAGGGGACACATCTGATTGGACGAGCACAAAGGGGGCGTTTCCTGACACCACACCTGATTGGATGATCGTTGCTTTGGCGTTTTTTTAGCCTACCTTATACCTTAGCATCAGACTTTCATATTTATTTTAATTATATTTAGCTTTACAAACTTGGTGTTGCTACAGTGGTAATTAGAAGACTTGGGAATATAAATATATAATATATATAATAACAGCCGGCAGGATAACTGCTGGTATTATATGTTGACAGTGTTGGACCCATGTCTTCGTTCATTATTTCCGCCTATGTTTATTAAAGATACTGACCTAAGTCTTCATTCATTATTTCCACTTTTCTTAACAAAGAGCTCCAGGTTGTATTTCAAAATAAGAACAACATCAGTCTGTAGTGTATTTTATTTTATCTTTTGAGACGTTTAGAAATAGGGAGAACTAAATGTTTGGTTTGTCAACAGTGAAAGAAAAACGAAAGAAAAGAACCAATCAGTGTTTATGCATAGAAATACCTACTGTGGGCCTGCAGAGAACCCCTTCTCAATTTTTAAACCAATTTTATATTAACCTTTATAGTTTTATCTTCAACTGCTTGCAGTGGTGGACAGTAACAAAGTACTTTTACTTTATTACTGTAATTAAGTACATTTTTTGAGTATCTTTACTTTACTTGAGTAGTTATTTATTTGGGAACTTTTTACTTTTACTCCACTACATTTCAAAGACAAATATTGTACTTTTTACTCCACTACATTTCTAGGAAGCTTGTTGTTACTTGTTCCTTTTAGATCAGCATAGCTTTATAATCCGCTGTAAAAAAAAAAAAGAAAAAAAATCCATTGTTCCGGTTTTTCTTTTCATGAAATGCAATTGGCCACAAACTATGTTCGTCACAAAGGTAACCAATCACGTGCGTAGCTTATAGCCTACGTCACACTCGTTAACTCTCGGTAGCGGAGCGCGCGCTCCCATCACTTTACTTTCATTTCAAGCAGAACCAGACAAAAGAAGAAGATGCAATGGAGACCACTGAGGAAACACAAGGAGAGAAACCAGTACACCCATGGTCACATCTCAGTTCAATGTTCGAGGTTTTAGGACTTAAAAATAATACGTATCAGTTCAAATGTCTTCTCTGTTTACCACGGGTAAAGTACCTTTCAGCATTCCATAACTCACCATCTAACGTGAGAAAGCACATTGAGGTAAGTCAGCAAACTTTTTTCTCACTAGTTTAAACGCTTTAAATGAAGTTGACTTTGGTTAGGGTGGTTGTGGTTTCATGCTGTGAGAGATGATTGAAAAATAGCCGACCGTTGTGTGCTAACTGCTAGCTTAGAGCACCGTGCGGGTGCCCCTTGGGGCTCTGCACTCAGGATTCCTGTTGGGCCCTTGGGCTCTGGTCTTCCCTATGTCTGCCTCGTGTCTTGGGGGTTGGGTCTCGGTCCTCCACAGTCACTATTAAATATTCCATTGGAGAAATCTTGTATAAACACACATGTTCACAACTGCTCACAAACAGGTGTTCTGATCTGGGGGTTCTGACTGGTCACTGAGTCTGTATATACAGTATGTCTGTGTGTATATACTGACAATATTTATGAATGTAGGCATGTATGTATGTATATCTTTATATATGTATGGGTATGTGTATATATTTATATATGCCTTCTATGTATTTATCCATTTATTTTTCAGGTTAGCGGACAGATGTTGGGTGTGTGGTCCTGTGTTTTGTTGGTGTAAATTTAATATACTTCTAATCACTATTTCAATCTTTCTATCTTTCTAATTACTTCTCTCTCTGTTTTTCTCTCTGTCTCTATTTTCTCTTCACTTAAAAAAAGTCACTGATGATGAAGAAATAAACTAAATAAACTAATATTTGGTTTCGTTTTCTACAGAAGTGACAAAAAAAAGAAAAGAAAAAAAGAAAATGTAATTTGTACTTTTACTTTGTACTTAAGTACTTTAAAATGCACGTACTTCTGAATACTTAAGTATTTTCAAAAGTAAGTACTTCAGTACTTTTACTTGAGTAGATTTTTGACTGAGTAACTTTTACTTGTAGTGGAGTAGATTTGACCATGAGTATCAATACTTTTACTCAAGTACTAGAGTTGAGTACTTTGTCCACCACTGACTGCTTGTAGTTTTAACTGTTTTAGATATTCACATAAACGTTTTACCAGTTTTCAGCCAAGACTCTGACGTTTCTGTAGATACCAAACACGTCTATGGCTAGCTAAAATAACTTATAGGAATTGAAGTAGAAAACTGGAGGTTTGGACTTAAGAGATGAATGAACCAAGTGGTGGGCTGCAGTGGGCCGGATGTGGCCCACAGGTCACCAGTTGAATAGCCCTGGCTTAGACGAATAACTGGTGCAAATTATCCGAATTTTACTCCTAAATTACTTAAAAGTTATGCAATTTTGTGTAATGTATACCCCCACCACCACCAGCACCACCTGGGCTGGGCTAAGCCCCCAATGTTTTCATCATCCTAACACCGCCTCTGGAATAAAGCCCATCTGATGGAGCAATATTTAAAGCAAACATTTAAATATGTATAAAAGAAGTGAGGCGACTGAACTGCGCTTTAAGGAGAATAAAATCAGCAGGACTCGGACCTTTCAGCTCCTCCTCACGCCGGACCTCCTCCTCCGTCCGCCCGTCCCGCTGTCCGCTCGCCGGGATGCAGAGCTCGGTTCCGCTCGGGAAGCGGCTGCAGTCGAACATCTCGGGCCAGGGGAAGCCGAAGGCGCTCATGACGGGCACGCAGCCGTCCCGCACGGCCTCGCACAGGCTCCGGCAGGGGCTGACGGGCCCGCTGAGCTCCGGCAGGCACACCGGGGCGAACATGGAGCACAGGAACTTCTTGGTGTCCCGGTGGCACAGCTTGGAGACCAGCGGCAGCCAGGCCGCCGACTGCTGCTGGGCCTCCTTCAGCGAGTCGTGGCCCAGCAGGTTGGGCATCCACATGCTCATGTAGCCGATACCGTCACACAGCGACAGGGTCCTCGGGATGGCTTTGCACACCGAGCGGACCGAGGAGCTGCTGAACCCGAGAGGAGGGGGCCCGAACTGGACCGGAGCCACGTCGTCGAAGGCGCGAGATGGACTGAAGAAGAGGAGGACCAAAGTGAGCAGGAGAACGGGCATGGTTCTTGTTCCGAGTCAGCAGCAAAACTTAGCCTCCCTGTGTGGACTTCAAGGTGTAAACAAAGAGGTGTGGAGGAGACAGGAGGACAGGCACCTCCCAGTTATTCCTCCTCCTCATCAGACTGTCTCAGACCCTCAACGCCCCCCTTTCCAATAAGCTACTTTTCAATTTAAAAATTTAATGTAACATTTTTATTGGTGCTGTTTAATAGGCTATGGAAGCCCATTTCCGCCACCCTGATAAAAAAATAAATAAAACTTCTAACTCATAATTATGACTTAGCTATCTCATTATTATGAGATAGTATCTCATAATTATGACTTAGCTATCTCATTATTATGAGATAGTATCTCATAATTATGAGATAGTATCTCATTATTATGAGATAGTATCTCATAATTATGAGATAGCTAAGTCATAATTATGAGATACTATCTCATAATAATGAGATAGCTAAGTCATGAGATACTATCTCATAATAATGAGATAGCTAAGTCATAATAATGAGATACAAGTTTTATTTTTTTATCAAGGTGGCGGAAATGGGCTTCCATAATAGTCCATGGTTATAAAGTAATAAGTGAATAATAAACAAAGTGTTCACCCTAGTCTTCCTCAATAAATCTATTTAGCTACAAGTCAAGGATTCCCTGAAGGAACATCCTACATTTAATGTAAAAAAAAAAAAAAGCTTAAAGGTGACAAAGTTTAAGCCATTTTGTTTTGGCCATGCTCAGTCTTATTCATCTGATGACTACTTTCTAAAAGCTTCATTCAAATTAGAGAATCATGAGATATTTTGCTGACAGCACAAACTTTGATAGTTTATTTATTTTGTGCTGCATGTTTTTTTTATATAAACTGTTTTAAAAATGCTTCTTCTTGAAACATTTTCCACTTGTTTGCTTTTAACTCTCCAAGCTTGCTTATTAAAGGCAGTAAGCGGAACCATCTCATTCAGCAAAACCAAGACAAAAACATCAACAAAGTGTGTGCAAATTTATGAAGAGCTGCTGTCAGTGTTGTTTCAGAAATCAAGCAGTTTTGTAGTGGTGTGTTAAAGGAGCAGTGTGTGTGAGAGACTATCATTATAGCTCAAGGGTTCGTGTGCGTTCAGGCAGACCTCAAGCAGAGACCTTTTCATCTTTCCCAGAGATGCCACACATCCACCAACATGTCTCATCCTGTTTCACTCTTCTGTTGCTCTTGCACTTTGTTACAGTGGTCTTAAAAAAAAGAAAAAAAAAAAACAGGAACATGAATATAGTCAAAAAAAGGAACTCATCCTTTATAAGTGTTTTTTTTTTTTTAGAAAATGTGTTTTACGAAATATTGGAAAGAGCACGCCTATTTAGCAAAGCAAAGGAAATTAAGGAAAATTGTGATTGTTAGATTATTTCTTTGTTGTAACAATGCTTTTTGGGCAATAAATCTTAATTCGTTGGGAAGCCTCTTTATCTTTTAAATGTTGCCACATTTGTAAGGAACATGCATTTATGGGATGAGCAGTAGGCCTATTGTATTGACACTTGTTGACACTTGCTCTGCTCCTCCCAAAGGGCCGTGTCCGAAACTTTAAGAGAGAGGCATCCTAATCAAATGCCCTAACCACCTCAGCAGGACATCCTAAAAAATGAAGCTCATTTCAGCAGAAAGTATGGAAAATAACCCTGCAACTAAACCTTATTACTGGAATGTTTCTGTGACTACTGTGGGGAAAAATATCACTCAGGCTTTTAGCAACACATCATCTCTAGAATTGTGTGATTCGGGGGAAATTGAGAGTGAGGTGCACTTTTTTCTTTTACTGTCCTTTGTATTTCATTCTGAGAAATGATGTATTTAGTAAGGTTCTTGATGTTTATCCAGATTAATTTTATTGAACTGATGAAGAAAGTATTTTGTGTTTCAATTAGCCCAGTTTATTTTAAAGGCCTGGCAATTAGAAAGGGGACACCTTTTGTTCAAAGAAATATATATGTCTGTCTGCTTGTATACACACACACACACACACACACACACACACACACA